GGGTCCTAGATGTAATGACTACTCGGTGAATTATATATTATCTAGCGGTCAAAGTGTAGAGAAGTTGTTTGTATGCCAAACAGAAGTGAAAGCAGGTAAATATTCTGATTTCCAAATTCGAGAAAGACCACTCAGGTAAGCATCCCCCCTAGTCTGCAATTAGTTTAAGTTGTAGTTCACCGAATTCAATTTAGTTGATGTTTATACCGTGGAAAGTCTTGAGATAGTCTGGAGGCTCGACTAAATCACTCTAGATCCTCTTGAGTAGTGTACCCGACTGGATATTATCATCCACTGGAATAAACTACTTAGGCAATTCGAAAAGACCTCCTCAACTGTATATGGAGCTTGAGTTACAAGAGAATCCAATCAGGTGGGTTAGTCATTCGGATATGAACCCTACTAGCCAAGGCATGAGGATTGTGTGAAGGTGATCAAATAATAGTAGAGTTGACGGGCTTATGTCTCCACGATTTAGAAGATAGCCAATTGTGAACATAGATTACTCAAGTGGAGTCAAGATACCTTTGGTACCATCAAAACAAGGAAGAAAAAAAATGGAAAATCTTTAGCGATCTTGAAAAAAAAAAAAAGATAGAGCGGTGATAATTCAGACGTAAGCTTTAGAGAAAGAGCATAAGGAACTCATATTCGTGGAAGAATTAAAGTGGAAGAAGAGGTCTAGAGCTGGCTAGTGAGGGATATGAATACATGTTTTTTCCATAGGAAATCCTCATAGTGAAGACCAAGGAATACCAAACTGAGTTGAACGATTTACAGGGAAGAGTTTATCATAGATAAAAGGAGGTGCATTCATGTATGTATCCTATCTAAAATTCCTATAAACCCTAGAACCAAGACCACCTACATACATTTTCTTATAAGGGTGATATAGGTTTCATTTTTGTGATTAAGGTACTACTTAAAGGATTCGAACTCGGGACCTCCATGTTCTAGGACAGTGGTATTACCACTAGGCCAAGCCCTTGTTCATGACCACCTACATACATTATTCTAGAGGAGCTGCCAACCAAGGTTACGAAAACTATGAATGAAGAGCTTCTTTGACCTTTTGTGGAAGAGAAAATGCGGTCAACATTGAAGTAGATGGCACCAAATACATCGCATGGAGTAGATGGTAAACCAGCTCTATTTTTTCATAAAAATTGGTGGGGTTTCAGGGTCGATAGTAAACTTTGAGCTCCAAACCTATCTAGATCAAGGTACTGTTCTGTAGAAATTGAACCATACCCTTATATCACTTATCTCCAAAACCAAGAAACCAAATACCCCTTGGATCTTAGCCCTACAAGTCTATGTAAGGTCCTATATATATTAATGTCGAAGGTACTGGCGAATAGGCTAAAATATATTAGATCAAGTCATTGTTGAGGAACAGAGTGATTTCGTATGAGGTACTCTATTACTAATAATATGATGGTGGCTTTAGAATGTTTTAATGCAACAAAAAATCGTATCAAAGCAATAAAGGCTAACTATAAGAAAAGATATACATAGTTAAAGTCTATGATAGGATGTAAGGGGAGTACCTGGAGAATATCATGTTGAAACTCGAGTTTGATGCCAACTGGGTGATGATTATAATGAGTTCTGTCACCACATTATCCTCTAATGTTCTCGTAAATGGCTACCAATCTGAGATTTTATAATGTGAGGAGGCTCTATGTCCGGGGGGTCCTATATCCAATCACTTGTTTTTATTGTATGTGGAGGGTCTATAAGCACCGACAGCCAAAGACAAAGAGGAAAAGAATGTATCGTAGATAATCTTGGAGACATATGAAGTAGAACCAGGACAATAGTTGAATCTAGAAAACTTGGAATCTCCCACATTAGTAATGTAAAGGATGAAAAGGTGGTGAAGATTGCTACAATGTTGAACATAAAATAATTACCATACCATGAGAAATACTTGGGTGTTCCCACCCAAATAGGAGGAGCAAAGAAGGCTGTTTTTGGGACTCTTGCCTTATGTTCACGAAGGAAGGGAGGAAAATGGAGGGGAGGAGAAGGGAATTAGGAGGGGAGGGACAATTTGGAAGTTAAGAAAAATAGTGTTTTATGGAGGAAAGTGGGAAGGAAAATGTGTATCGGGAATTGTGATTGATATGTTATTTTATTGGATATATAATTATAAAATAATTTGATTATATGTTGATAATATTTTCATTGGTTATGAATTGTGAATTGAATTTGTACTTTCTTACTAATTTTTGTTCACTATTAAAAATAAAAAATAGATGGTTTGAATTTTTTGTAAACCTATTGTTAAAACAAAGTTCTAGGGAGATGGCGGGTTGATATTATTTTCATTAATTATAGTAGAGGGTCAAACAATGTTATACATGACGTAATAATTTTATGTATCGAGGAAAACAATGTTCTAAGTGACGTAAATCGCCCGATTAAATTACTATATTCAAGGTCATGGCTATGGTTGTGCAACGATTCGGACGGATAAGACCAAACTCATGAGAACCATGGTCCATGTATATATATTTACATATATTTAGCTAATTACTATTAATAAACTTTAATTAACTCATAAATTGTTGGCGTGATTTAATTTTGGCAAACATTAGAAAAATGAAAAAAAGAAGTAATAAGCAAGAGTTTTAAATTGTGTCGGAGGTTGTACCGAAAAAGTTAGTGGTAAATATTTTATAATGAAACTATAATTTAATCGTGTGATACCGTTAAATGCCGTATACCAATTTAACATTCGATAAGAGGTTTTTCGAATCAAACCGCCAATACAATACGATTTTTCAATCACTACAACAATTTAGATATGATAAAAACTCAACTCCTTCCCTTATATTAGCAAATAGTAATATTTTATTAACTAATATGATAATAAACTAACAATTTTATGGTAGAATAATAAACTAACCCGAAAATATCAAAACAACCATTATGACCAAAATTATCTACTAATTTATTACCTTTAATTATAATATCTATCCTAAGAAAATAAGCACCACGTGTAAAGTTTCTCAATTTCCACTTAACCCACCACCATCCACCAACATATATATGTTGGATTTTATTGCTAAAAAATGTAAAAAAGAAAGCCCACAAAACAAATTTTCCCCTCCGATTTGAGGGGGGAGGTCTACATTTCCGTGCATTTTTCCTGCCTTCCACCATGTTGCTCTCTTCAAGAATAGCGGAAAATGTATCGATGATCCCACTTCCCACTACAACTTTCCCTTTCCCTCCTTTTCCTCTCTTCTAGAACAGAGGGTTGTTGACAAGAGAAGATACGAAAGAAAGTTAAGATGTGGGAATGTGAGCCCCTGTTAATAGCAACAAAGAAATTTCTGATAAAATTCATTGCTCATGCACAACTTACATATACCATGTCAGTATTCCTAGTACCTATAGTGACGTTGCAAGAAATATAGAGGATCGTCTCTGGATTTTCACGGGGACAAAATAGAGAGGAGTATACACTAAATGAAGTGGGAGACACTATGTTTTCTGAAGGAGGAAGGTGCGCTTGAATTTCAACCTAGCTTAGCTAGGAAAAGAAGTATGAAATTAACTACAACACCCTAATACACTAGTAGCAAGATTGCTAAAGACAAAGTACCATCAAGATTCTACAATTTTCACAGGTAATGACAAAATGAAGGCTAAGACGAGGTGGAGGATATCATGTTCTGGTGAGACAACTAGGTGTTAATTCACCAACCTACCATATTGAATCCCCAGTAACATCTCTGGGAATGCAAGCTATAGTGTTTCACTTCATTGAGACTGAGAGTAGAACTTAGAATATGGTTGTAATCCAACACAACTTCAACCCGATTGATAGGGATAGGATCTTGAGCATTCCCTTATCTAAGAAAATAATATAGGATCAAGTGTTATGAAGTTTGGAAATATCTATAAAGTATGGTGTCAAATCGGCTTATCGCCATTGGATGAAGATGTAGAGGAGTGCCCAAGGTGAGCCCTATATGACTGAGGTTGGGTGCGGAAATTGAATATCCCCGAAAGTAAGATTTTGGATGGAGATGAGGAAGTGATCACATATTGTCCACATGCACAGATCTTAGTAAAAGATTGAAAGATGCAAATGAGGAATGTCCATTTTGGGGACTACGAGAAACACAAGAGCACATATGAGGGATTGAGAATATGCGAGTCGAATTTCAAGGAAAAGTCAGTTGTGAGCCTGCTTGAAATGGGAAAAGAGAAAATGAGAGAATATTGGTTATGTGAGGTGTTCGAAATGGCAAAGATGACGATTTAAGTCTATTCCTAATTGCACTATGGGCTATCTAGAAAGAACGTAATGAGTAATGACCATTTGTTCAATAACCCGAAACTCGAAGAATGTTAAGTGATGGGAAGAGCATTGGATTTCTTAGGAATGACTGGAGGCGCACCAGAAGGCAGAAGCTGACCATCTTAGTTGTCGGCAATTTCGCTGGCAAGCGTGGTTGGTGAGCACTTTCAAAATCAATGGCAGTGCTCCGATGTTACTAGAAGGAGGAACTGGGTTGGGGTGGTGGTTAGGGATAGAGAGAGAGGAAGTTTCATTTTGCAGCAGTGAAGTGGGAAACGGTAACTTGGCAGGTGGATGTAGCAGAGGCAAACGCAATTAGATTTTGACTTAATACCTTAGTTTGGCCCGAACTATACACATACTTTCTACTTTGGCCCGTGGTATTGAAAATTGTTACTATGGCCTGAACTATGTAGCAAACTTTCTCATTTGGCCTGGAGGCGGGTTTGACCGTCAAATTAGACGGTCAAACCTGTTGACCGTTAGTCAATGTACACCTCACCTGCCACGTCAGCTTTGAGGACATAAAAAATTAATTTTTTTCTGAATTTTTTTCTTTCGATTAATAAAATCAATAAATCATATTACCAAAAAAATAATAAATCTAAACAATTAATTAAAAGAATGGAAAAAAATGGAAAAACCTCAAATAATTCCCTCCCCTTTGAGACCCATCGTCTTCCCCGACTCCTCCTTCTCCCTTCCCCTTAGATTCACCACCTCCGTGTCGTCGCTCAAGTCCTCTATAGTCGGGACCAGCCACCGCCGCCGTCCTCCCACTAACCCGCTCGTCGTCCACTGCATCCACCGCTCCTACGACTCCGTAAACTTCCCCGCCGGTGTCGTCTCCAGCAGATCTGACTCGCAGAGCTCCTGCGCTATCCTCTCCAGCAAAGTCGTTGGACAGGAGCAGCCTCCTGAAAGTAGATCTGGAGGAGAAAATGGACTTGCTGCTGCTGATTCCATCTCTTCCGTCAACGGTCACAAGACAATTGACCTGGATTTGGTCCCAATCGATAAGGCTGCTCTGGATTTGGTCTAAATGTGAGGTGATTCCGTGCGACCAGTTCGAGGTCGCTTTCCAGGCGGTGGAGCTCTAGATCGCGGATCGAGCCGTTTTGCCGGTGGAGAACTCGCTGGACGGATCGATTCACAGGAACTACGACTTGCTCCTCCACCACCGCCTTCATATTGTTGGGGAGGTCCAGCTGCCGGTCCACCACTGCCTGATGGCGCTGTCGGCGGTGGAGAAGAATGAAGGTGAATCAATTACGCGGTCAAGCACAGAAGCTGAAGGACTCAAATTCAAGTCTTCAAGAGAAAATTAAAGAATTGAAGGTGAAGCCATCCTTCTACACTATCTTCACTTTTCGTCAGCTGATAAGTGCAAAACGAGTGATGATATATAGATTGGTTGGCTAAATCAAAGCTCCCCATTTTTCATGCGTAGGTGGAGAAGAATGAGCTTCGTGATGAGAAGCAACATCTCAAAGTAGAGAAAGAGAAGCTGGAACAGCAAATGTAAACCATGAACAGTAAAAGGAAGCCACACGCTCACGAAGCTGGGGTTGCAGGCGGCGCGTGAGGCGGTGGACGACACAGCTGGGGCGGCAGAGTGCGAACTATTTTAGATTTATTATTATTTTTTGGTATAAGATTTATTGATTTATTAATCAAAATAAAACAAAATTCAGAAAAAAATTAATTTTTTATGTCCTCAAAGCTGACGTGGCAGGTGAGGTGTACATTGACTAACGGTCAACAGGCTGGACCGTCTAATTTGACGGTCAAACCCGCCTCCAGGCCAAATGAGGAAGTTTGCTACATAGTTCAGACCATAGTAGCAATTTTCAATACCACGAGCTAAAGTAGAAAGTATGTGTATAGTTTGGGCCAAACTAAGGTATTAACCCTTAGATTTTATTTGGCGGTGACGATGAAGCATATCCGGCCAGGGATCACAGAAAGTGACTGCAAGATGACCATCCATATTTTTAATTTCGCTTTTGTTTTGTTCAGTGATGGTAGCCATCTAGCCATTACAAATTAATAAATGGTTACATATTGATTATAAAAATATATCACTGTTTTTTTTTATTACTCAGGAACCACATCCTCACGTGTCACTTTGTGACAGCGGGTTCTACTTAATTTGGGGCCACCTGCATTCAATTTGATGCGAACTGGCTTCGCCCCCAGCAACCTTATACCTGTGGGACCACCAACGAGCCTCGCTTGAATTCGAACCTGAGATCTACAACTCTCAAACCTTCACCATCGCGGCAGCTTTATCGTTAATATATCTTTGATAATATTCACTTTTATATAGCTACAAGTCTACATTTAAGTGATGTGTGATGATATGTTTTATAAATAATTTGACTTCATCAATTAGGGGTCGTGTGCTTCATGGATTTAAAAATTAGGGTTTTGTAATTTAAAAACCCAAGGATTTATCAAGGATTTGAGGCATCATGGATTTGTAACAATCCTTTGTTTGTTGGGATGTTTTTATCATGGATTTAAAGGTGTGGGATTTACTACTTAAAGTCAAAAATTACATTACTGCCCTTTTCTATATGTTTGACATGTTTATGATATGTACACAAAACAAGGACAAAACTTCAAAATTACCTTACTATCATTTTCTATATGTTTGACATGTTTATGATGAGAAATTTTACAATGCTATATAGTATTGGTGCTATAGGTTTTTGCCTTTATGGTACAACTTAAAATTGTACATTTACGTTATGGTACAACTTCAAATTGTACCTATACTTTTTGTACAAATTCTTTTATGGTACAACTTGATCTTGTACCTTTATGTGATTGTACAATTTCAAGTTGTAAAGTTGTACCATAACATAATGGTACACATTGCTTTATGGTACAACCTAAACTTATACATTTAATGTTATGGTACAACTTTGAGTTGTACATTAAAGCACCAATGCTAAATAGCATAGTAGAAGTGCTCGTTTATGATATGTACACAAAACAAGGACAATACATACTAATAAGCATAATGTTGCCACATGGACAATAATAATAAACGAGAAAACTCTGTTTTAACTTTTAACGTAACATAATCAATTACCAATTCTTCGTCCTCCTTTTCAAAAGTGACATATAACAACATATATTAGAATCGGGAGAACAAAGAATTACACGTTCCATTCTTTAGTTGGGTTCGATTTTGTTGCGTGGCTGTTTTCGGTCATTTGAACTCCTTTGTATCTGACTGTTTTCTCGGTAATACGAGCGATCGTTTTGGTAAAAAAAAAAAAGAATTACACGTTCCATGAAAAGATCAAAGAAAACTAGAACACAAGAAATGATATAAAAAATCTAACTCATGTTTGCACATTAATTGAACGTTTATATTATTCATTTATTGTTAATTATAATGTATAATAGTTAAATTTGAGGGCAACCTTGGAATATTATAAGTGCATGAGGGTATATGGGTAAAATCTCATCAAGGATTTATGCCATATTCCAAATCTCACATCAACATGTGGGATTTATAAGTCCGTGGGGTCCACGGATTTGGACCATTAAAATCCGTGGCCCCACGGATTTAGTCTCCAAAAAAGGTACAAGCAAACAACGGATTGTACCTAAATCCTTGATAGTTGGTGTTTTGGTACCAAATCCATGTACCAAATCCTTGAAGCAAACGACCGTCAAGTGAGCAGATCATTTGTAAATTTTTAAAATTAATATAACCACTCCTACCTCACCACGGTAAGCGAAATTAACTTAATATTTCATTCTCGACCTCCTTGTACTACCACCACGCCGTCTACTCCTTTGTACTATCCCCCAACGACTTGTGAGTTGTACCATTCATACTTACGCCATTCATGCCCCAACAGCAAAGTCAAAGAACCCAATTTTCCAATTCCCTTCTGCAATTTCCCTCGGCAGCCCTTTTGACCCCCAGCTCACAAATTCCCCCACTCACCAACTCTCATCTATATAGCAATCCCTACAAACCACCGGAAATTCTCGCCCAGAGCTAAATTCCCAATCCTCCCACTCTGTAAAAATGGCGAGACTCTGTCTCACCATCTTCCTAATCACAATCTCCCTCTCGACCCTCCCCAATTCTCGATCCCAGCCATCCCCAGCTTCCCAACCCGCGGTCACCTGGGCGACCCGGCTCGACTCCTCTGGCTCCGACACCGTCACCAACCTCCAGTTCTACTTCCACGACATCGTCAGCGGGAGCAACCCGACCGCCGTCCAGGTCGCTTCGGCGGCCGGCTCCGGATCCGGGTTCGGGTCCATCACGATGGCCGACGACGCGCTGACCGAGACGGCCGACCCGAACTCCAAGCTGATCGGGCGGGCCCAGGGGATATACGCCCAGGCTTCCCAGACCGGGCTCGCCCTCCTGATGGCCCTCAGCTACTCCTTCACCGATGGGCCCTACAGCGGGAGCTCGCTCAGCATAATGGGCCGGAACGCGGTCATGACCCAGGGCCGGGAGCTGCCCGTTTTGGGCGGGACCGGTTTGTTCAGGATGGCGCGTGGGTACGCGGTCCTCCAAACGACCTCCGGCAACGCGCAGGGGGACGCCGTGGTGTTTTATAACGTCACGGTTTTTGCTCCGGCCGGGAATGACAGGAATGAGGTGCTGCCTTTTACTCCGGTGGGCGGGAGCGGCGGTGGGAGGAGCGGGACCGGAGGTACTAGGTCGACGAACACGGTGAATTCGTCGCCGGCGGGGAGAGTGGAGGGGAGTCGCTGGATTGGTGGGGCCATGATTGTTGCTGTTGCGTGTTTATTTTCTGTGTAAACGATAATTAATGATGATGGGAGGCCATTGTTAATTATTGTTGTTAGTGTATCGTTTTGTGGACATAGTTATTGTATCTAGAATTTTACCTTTCAGTGAGGTGCTTTGATGCATTATATTATATAGGTTAGGCTTAATTACCTTCCACTTATATCCTGTCTTATCAATTTCCCTCTGGGTTGTCCATTTTGTCCTTTTGCCCCTTTCCTTCAATACATTATCATTTTATTGTTACTTTAGTTATTGTTATGATTAATAAGAGATGCCAGTGACACATTTGTTTTCAATTCTATACATAGCATTGTTGCCCAATTTCAATTCAACTTTGTATGATTCTTAAGTAGATAACTCTTGAACGAATAAATACTTGGTCTAGTTATAATATTATTAATTTTGAATCCATAAGTTTTAGGTTCCGATTTTTTAAAAGCATCTATATCAATGCAATTGGAGACTCAATTGCATATGTTTTCTAGTGACAACTTATAATTTTTCAATCCAACTCATTTAAATTTCATTACTTCTACATTCATGTTATTCATTTGCAATTGTATATAAAATAAATAACTCTTTCTCTCTTATATTTTGGGTATTTAAATAACATTGAAAAGGAAAACAAGAAAAAAACCCATCATTAATCTACGTGGCCTTGCATTTAGAATTTCATAATCGCAAGCTTTCCCGCACCAGTGAAATTGGATTTGTAATTTCAGAAGTCCTATCCACTTCATAATGCAATTAGAAAAAAAAAAAACAACCAATTTAGATTCTCAAATTAATTAACACATAAACCAAACTCATATCACCCTCTTATTAAAAATAAAAATAAACACCTTCCTCTTCCTTTTAGTGAAATGGTGTTACCGATGGATTAGCAACTTTCTACCGTTGGTTCACCATTCAAAGCGACTATGACTAATTATAAGTCATATTATATAATCCTTGAAAAAATAAATTTAATTATTGAATTAGTTATGATGGGATAACTATCCTAGTGACATCATATAATAGGATCTAACTTATTACGAAAACAAACCACAATCTATTAAAATCTGCACTTCATGACCGATTGAGTTGGTTTGGTCACCTACTTTGTGTCACATATTTTTTCCTAATTTCACAAATTTTGCTTTGAAAATTCAAGATTTCGTTCGACGGGAAAGAATGAGTCATCATCCATGGTGTAAGGTCTTGTGTGGTTGCAACCTATTCCACCTGCTCTGAGAATTATGACCCACTAGTTTAATTAGCCACACACCCATATGGCAAAATAAAAGGAAATGGTGGTGAAACTAATCTAATTTTCAACGACAATAGTATCGTAGTTTTTGATTCTTTTTTATTACAGGAGACAGGAGTAACAATCGGGTGGCCCATAATGTGGCCAGAAAGACCCTTTCTTTGTTGCCTGCGATTGTGGATAGTTTTGATTTTGAACGTTGGTTCTTATTTGAGTTGTAACTTTGCTAGCTTTTTGTCTTGGTAATATAATTGATCTATTGGTAAGAAGAAAAAAATCTACTTTTCTAAATATAAGCCTTCCAAAACAATAATATGGAGTACAATTAATCTAGAGCATATCATTATTTTTTCATTGGTTGTTGTACCTAAAGTTCAGAATGTAATGGATATTCTCATTTTCACATCCTCACGTTAACTCAGAGTGTACCTAGGCCAACCCCTTAAGATTGAGAGCCATTTATTCACTAGCAAAGACAATACATTTAGTTCTCTTAGTACTATATTAAATTAACGTATAGCTTCAAAGAAAGTTATTTTATTTAATTAGAAAATCAATATTTAAAAACTTGATTTTTTAAATATTTTCTATATGAAACGAAAGTATAATAAATAGAATTTATAAAGTTTATAGAATTGAAGAAAATATATTTTCTTTGGAGATTATAATTATATTCATGAATAAATATTGAAAAATAAGTTGAAATCAACCATTTGATTAGAGTAATGACTACAACACCTAAATTCTCAATTTTAAAAGTATTGCAATTCTTTTCTTTTAGCCTTGCTCATTCTAATTCCGGGCTTTCCCTTTCCCCATTGCTTACTCAACCACCAAGAACCTCCCATGTTGTAAACTTGTAGTAGCGGTTAGAAACATTTGTGGGGTTGCACATCGACAATTCAACGGAGATGATACTTTCTGTGTATGTCTTTTGGGATGCTTCTAGAACATTGAAAAGTGATCATGACCATTCAACAATTTATACCCTCTATCTTGCTACATGTCTATTTCGGTTTCTCTGGTTTGGATCCGAATCCATTAATTAATGTTGCGGGAATCGGGATTGTCACTGGTATTCGAGATTTGATGGTGCAACAGAAAAATCGAATTTGAGCATAAAGGAACACGTTCAGGGGGGGAAAAACATCATCATATTTTGGAATCGAAAAGTAGTAATGGGAAGAAGAATTTTCAGAGAGAAAGGCGGAAAATAACTAAATTAAAAAAAAAAAAATTGATGCTCTACCGTGTGACAGCATGGCCTACTACAAATTGTCAAATTCTATGAACAAAGCAAATTAAAAGAGTATTTTTTTTTATAAAAAAGTACCTACTACAGATTTTTTTATTATCCAGGAACCTTAGTCCCACGTGTCACTTTGTAACAGTGAATCCTACTAAATTTGGGGGCCACCTGCAATCAAATTCGACGCCAACGGGGCTTCACCCCCAGCAGCCTTGTACTTCCGGAAACACCAATGGGTCTTGCTGAGATTCGAACCTGGGATCTGAAACTCACAAACCCTCACTGTCGCGAGTCGCGACAGTTTTACCGTTATGCTATCTTTCATGTGTAATTGAACCGCATTTCTTTTATAATGAAAACACATCATGGAATATGTCTAAGATGAACAAGTGTAAGAACTGATCATCATTAAGTAGCAAACTTCTCACCATATCCCTTAATCCCTGCATTAATTATACTAACTGTTTACACCATAAAATTTGTCTAGTACCATATTGTTGAGTTACAAGATAATTAATGAGTTTATAAGGCCACACCCATTATTACAATTAAGATTGTTTAAGTTGGGACTTATGGATATTGATTTTAAGCCCAAGCCACTAAGTCTGGAGAGTGACATGCCGCCTCAGCGAAGAGGGCCATGTCCATCTAAAATCTAGAAGCATGTGCCGCCTCATGAAGAGGGCCATGTCCATCTAGAAATCGAGGAGCACAAGCCGCCCCAAGATCAAGACTGAATGATTGAAAAATAAACTAAGTCTGGAAGAGGTACATGCCGCTTCAAGGAGAAGCATGTGCCACTTCAACGAGAGGTCCATGCCGCTTCACGAGAAGGGGCATGGACGCGAGACAAGATGAGACCCCCATGCCACTTCACGAGAAGGGGCATGGACGCAAGAAAAGATACTAAGTATGAGAGGGCCATGTTGTGTCACAAGAAGGGTCACAGACATGACTGAGAAGTCCATGGCCGCGAATGAGGAGGCCATGTCGCCTCATGATCCAAAATATACTAAGTATGAGAAGGCCATGCCGCCTCACGAGAAGGGTCATGTGCATGATTAAGAGGTCCATGGCCGTGTCATGTGATGGCCATGGACGCGAAGCAAGAAGAATTAGAAATGATTGAAAATACTAAGTATGGAAAGGCCATGCCGCCTCATGAGTGGGGCCTTGTGCATGATTGAGAAGTCCATGCCACTTCACAAGAGTGGCCATGGACATGAATGAGAAGGGCGTGGTGGTGGAGCACTATATCAGTAATGACTAAGTCCCAAGTGGGCCATGGACATGGGTAAGAAGTCCATGGCCATGAGACAAGAGAACCATGACCCCCTTTGCGAGACAATACATGCTCGTCAAAAGACTAGCATGGCATGAGATTCAGAACAAGACCAGGCGAGGCAAGCTACACTCCAAGACCCATGACGGTTACAAGAGAGGCCCCTAGGCGGTTGAAGGGGTAACCACCACTCTGAGGAAGCAGGGAGCGGTTCTTTTTGGGAGTTATCCAAGAGGTGGTTTCTACCGAAGAAGGGGGAGCGGTTCTTAGTAGTAGTTATCCAACAAGCGGTTTTCTATGGCGGTTACCTCCTCGTGGATATAAATAAGAGGAGGGGTCGACAGAGACAGGGGTCCCAAAACCAACACTCTGACACACATGTCAAGTTTATCTTTTACCTTTTCTCTAACATGTAGCCATAGATGTAGTTCGTAGTTTGGAGCTCTCGCCGAACCTCCATAGGAGTAGAAGTAATTTAATTTAGATCTCGTTCCCAAAAACCATCAATCAAACACCCTCGTTCGAACTTTGTTTGAAGAGGTGTGAGCCGTGTCTTAGTAATCGTTGCCCAAAGAAGTCAAAGGTGCAATCCATCTCAATACACAAGAAGTTTTCTCGTCGGAAAACAAATTTGGTACACCTGGTGGGACATTGTGTTTGATATGATGGCTCCACGACATACACAACAAGATGAAGATCTTCTACACGTCTTCGTAGAAGAGGATCAAGTGACTAGCTTCAAAGTTGGTCGAGTGGATGTTGTCGCCGGAAACAATGGTGGGATGAAGGCTCTGCCAGCACCGGCGACAAGTTTGGATGAAGCAACTTCCATCACTTCGCTCCATCAATCCATTGAGGAGGGTATGGTTGACCCCCAACAGGTAAACCGATGTTTAACTTCTCATATTAAGCGTCATGCTTCTCTTATTGAACGTATCGATTCTCTCATTGAGCGTCATGATTCTCTCATTTCTTGGATGGATACATGGCTATATAATTGGTTTGGCAACTTGAGCAAGACTCAAAGCCATTTTTATGAGTCTAGACATGTCTCGAACATATCTGTGGTTCAATCAAGGACTTTGCCAATAAATAGCAAAGATCCACCACTAAACAGTGTTACATGGTGTAAGAATCTTTCTTCCACTGGTTGTCAAAATAGTCGATCATGGAAAGGAACATCGCCGACATCGGTAACAAGCCAACTACCATCTCAACATGGGAGTTGT